TGTATGTTTGAATACAATGTTTCTTAACTAAATATGCATCTAATTATATTGGCATCAGTTAACATGTCTTTAATTATATTGACTGTTGAATATACATATAATAATATGGGCAGTTAATATGCGTCTAGTTATAAGGACATCAGTTAAATGCCTCTAAACATATTGGTAGTTAAATATGCTTCTAATTATATTGTCAGGTAAATATACCTCTAATTATATTGGCAGTTAATAATAATATGACTCTAATAACATGGGCATCAGTTAAATGTCTCTAAATATAAAGACAATTAAATAGGCTTTAATTATATTAGCATAAATTAAATATACCTTTTACTGTATTTACATCAATAAAATATGCCATCGTATATATTGGCATCACTTCTAACTCCAGTTTTTCAATATTGTTTCAAGATGTATTATCCATTTTTTTGAAGGCCTAGACTCTATATAAGTAAACGAGTGTTGGTTTGTTTGCATGCATAATTATAGATATATAGTAGGTAAAATAATTTGTCGAGAGCGAGGCTTTTCAGTGCACACTAGAATATAAGTTGAGAATTCTGTATTACGGTTAGGGGATGAAGTAAGTCTAAGGACAATAAGACAATATAGGTCGAGGACAATAGAACAATGTAGGACATACATGCGGTACTCACGTGTGTACGTTACTCCAAAAGCTGGACCGTGTCGTACAATAGATTCAAGGTCAGTAGTGGTCATTATGGTCGAAGAACCAGAACTAACTAGCTCGGAATGTAAATAAAACAAACTCGCTGTGCGTCCACTGATGGTGTACCACGTGATTGTTACGGTCCATTATGAGACTTGTTTTCGTAAACTGTACAGTATCCATGGTTACGCGTTTAAATGGCAAGTGTAGCGGGTGTGTTTTGATTTGTGTAAAAATTGTGTGTGTGCCCATATATTGGGTTCTGTATACACGTTTACAGTAAACATTCAAAAATGTTTTTTTTTTTTTTTACATTTCAAAACAAACACATCATTCACTATGCACGTCTTTAAACCAGTTCACCCTAAAATGGTTGTAATGTGTAAAAAAAAAAATAATCTCGAAAAAAAAAAGTCAAACTTTAAGCCCCACTCGCCCCAGAATATATCAATGGTTAACTGGGGGGGGGGGGGGCGTGTGTTCAATGGTTAGGAGAAAACTTGGAAAAGTCTAATCTGGTCACTGCTGGTTACAACTGGATATGATGTCGTCAATTGTTACCCTGTCATGAGTATAAAACTCCTTCCGACATCCGATTTCAGACATGCGTATCGTATTTTAAACTTTAATTGGACGACAGCGTACCTCTGGACTTAGACTTCAACTCGAGGGGTGAAGCCGCGTACAGGGGACTTAAGACCCTTTCAGGAGTTTTGACGTCACAACACCAGCTATGACTTGGGGTAGAGTTGGGAAGCAGGTTTGTTCGTAGTTTAACTCGCACATTTACCCAAATACCTGGTGGTTTGATTAGACACGATTGACATTAGTTTAATTAATCTAATTTACCAACAACGGAAACTAATTTCTGGTTGGGGGACGGGTAATTTTCCAGACATCTTCGCATTTTACCGGATTCTAAGCCTATTAGGTGTTTTCGCATAAATGTCGCATTTTACCACTTTCGAGTTTCGCATATCACATTGCACATATAACTAGTTTTAGATTCTTGGCCAATAGCTAGATAATAGTACTTTAGATGGGATTATAATTTTAACGCATTTATTGAAATCGTTTAAAACTTCCTTGCTTGTAATCGCAGTGGTACTTAAGTTTTTTTTAAAGTTACATTTATAATGCAGAGGACCCCTTATTTATCATGCTTTCATTGTTTTTGTATGAGATGTGTATGTTACATGTATGCCATATACCAACCAAAACAAATTGGTTTTTCAGTATACAAAGCGGCCAGTGTGGGTCAGTTTATTTAAAATGGATCAAATTGGTCAGTTGTATTCACTTATTTTTAGCGGACCGCGTGATCAAATTCACTCAGTAAAAAGCCTACACAAAAGACGTGGCGTTTTAAAATTAAAACTGATTCTCCTGCTTCCAAAATACACATCAATGATCACAAATCATGTGTGTATGTAAAGATTGTTTTGAGTGATCGTGTATTTGACTCGACTAAACAGTTTCCATTAAATAAAACCAAGTTTTTTTTCAAAACAAACTTTTCACTCACTAAGACATTCTTTGAAACAGTTTTATCTCTATTGGTTAAATGGTCTCAAATCATGTAGGCCTATGTAAAGATTTTTTGAGTGACCGTGTATTTGACTCTACTAAATAGCTTACATTAATTTTTTTTACTCAAAGATATTCTTTTAAACATTTTTTCTCCACAATGGTTAAATGCGTAAAAAAAGCATTGGATATTATTTTTTTTATGGTAAGGGTCTAGGCCCCCTTCCGTCCATTTCTTTAAAATAGTTTACTCTACAATTTTAAAAAAGATGTGTAGAAAAGAATTTAGCTGCAGTTTTTTTGGCTGTAGGAAGCTCCACCCCTTTCCATTAAGGTACGGAAAGGTAAAAGCTTGTTGGGGGGAGGGGGGGGGGGGGGCTTGTCTTTAGGCATGATGGGGTGGGAGAATATATGGGAATTAAGATTCCGGTAAATACTGGTTTGAACTGGATATGATGTCGTTAATTGATGACACGTCAGGGGTATAAAACCCGGTGGCACATTGATGTGGACAGGCATACGATCAAAACTCGACTCAGATTTTGAAACTTGAATCGGAACAGAGCGCCCCTGCTGCAGTTGATTAGACTTGGGTGGCGTCGGCTGTTGCAGACGTTATAGAGGTCGCTCGAAATCTCGCACGTGTCTTGACGTCATTAGCCATGACGTGGGGTAGGGTTAGGAAACAGGTTTGTTCATTGTTACCTCAGTTGTGCATTTGGTTGTGTGCAGTTCGTATGGGCCTAATTTAATTATCACATGGGTCTAATTTAATTTAATTGTGTTTCATGGCGTTAAAGCAAACGGCTTTTTTAGGGTGGGTGTGTGTGTGTGGGGGGGGGGGGGGGATTAGGGATAACACTTCGAAACTGGTTTCGGTGCTTAATTGGCTTTTAAAACCTCCGAATTTTTCTATATATCTGAATAGCTTTTTATTTTTTTTTAAAGTTATGTGCGTCTAAGTTTTCAAATAATTTTTTTATCTTATCCGAGTAGGATGTCGATGCTTGTTTTAAAATATTTTTTTTTCTAAACCGACCTTTCTTGACACCCAGACCTCCTGACCCAAAGTGACGGCACACGTCTTTGGGGTTCTTATCGCTGGTACCTGTACACTAATCAAGGGGGGGGGGGTGAGGAAAGGGAGTGTGTGGAAATAGAGGAGGGGAGAGGTGTGCGAAAAATTAGTTTTGCGTTTTGTTGTCCAAATAGTAGCATTTTACTATTTTTATTGAAGATAATTTTTTTTTATAAAAAACCAAACTAAATTTAAAAAAAAATGTTCACAAGGGTTTTAAGGTTCGTTTTTCCGTAACATTTTTTATATTAAGCACTCTATGAAACTTAATCGTTTAATAATGCTAAGAGATGAGGCCACCAATTTTTTTAATCATGATTCCACGGTGGATTTAAAACATTCCCTTTTCGAACCTGACGGTCCATAGGGCAAGTAGAGTTCACCTGTTTCTGTGACCTCGGCATATGAAAAGATAGTGTGGTTAGCGCTATGACCAACGGTGTAAAAATCTTGAAATTTTTAAATTCATTTTGAATAGTCTGGTTGCGGTGAAGTTGACGGTATTTTCTTCCTCTTTAAGAATATGTTTGTTATAATTAGGGCACATATTCACCAATATTCACCATACATGTATACTTCTTGACAAACAAACCCGTCAAACATGTTTTAAATTTGTTTTTTTTTTATTCTCAGCTTACAAATGAATACAAATATTTTTTTAAACATTCGTGGTTAGATTAAGGTGTGCATTAAAAGCTTACTATTTTCTTTATTTTGACATAATGGGTTGCATGCATAAAAGAAAAATAAAATATTTCATTTTTTTGTGAATTAATTTTTTTTACATTTTAAGTTACTCATATATAATTTAATCTCTTGGTGAAAAGTTCCCAATTTCTTAATCTAGTTGCGATTATTTCAAAACTAAAATTTCATGTAAAAAGTATCTTGGTAATACATGTAGGCTTCTATTGTTAAAAAACAAGAAGTGGAGTTTGGGATTCGTTCAATCATAATTTTTTTAACCCACTTAACAATTCGATTGTCTTCCCTCGTCGAATATAAATTTAACAGGAAAAAAAAATAATTCACCCCTTTTCTTTGTCACTTAGTAATCCTTTTCTATTCCCGTTCTTCCTCCCCCATCCCCTTTCAATAGCATAGTTATACGAAGTTATTTTCTCTTCAACAATCATGTACACAGTTATGTAAACTGCGCATATAGTGGAAAATAAACTGGTCGTTATTATAGGGGGAACATAATGGTCTCTTGACGTAGATGTCGCTGGCGGTGGTTGCTTGTATTTTATGTTATGGGGTTATTTTAACATGGGTTTATTAAAAACTAAAGATGTGTGGCGTAATTAAATATAATTATATACTGGATTAATTACCGAGGGTATATTTTGGGGTTATTCAAACATGGGGTTATTACAAAATAAAGATGTATACGGTTATTTTTATACATAGGAATTTAGGGGCTATTTAACGTGAGTGTGGGGGTTAATTAATAAGGGGTTATTTGTGTGTTTGGGGGTAATTAATGGAGTCATCTTTGTAATTTTTGACTTAAGTTACGGAAAGTACTAGAAAGTACAAAGTTACCTGCGGCAATACTTTAAAAACAAATTATCTACAAAATCGGTAACTGCGGCAATACTTTAAAAAAATTATTTACAAAATTGGTAACTGTGACAATACTTTAAAAAAAATTACCTACAAAATTGGTATTTGGCAATCAATATTAAAAAAAAGCTAAAATTGTTACATTTCTTAACCCAGGATGACCACGGGTCCAGCAGCTGTCAATACACGGTCGCCCACACGGAGGATGAGAGGACGAAGAAGAAGAAGGATAAGGAGAGAGATAAGATGGACGACCTAAAGCAGGAGCTGGTGATGGACGAGCACAGGATTCCCCTGGACGAGCTGTGCAGGCGGCTGTGTGTGGATCCGACAAACGTGAGTTACCTGCCCCTTAATAACAATTTTTTACATACGGGGGTGTGGGGGTTCGTCACAGGGGGACGGTGTTCTAGACCGCGTCTGTGCTATATTTTTTTAATACAGGGGGGGGGGGAGGAGCACAGGCGACAGAGTGGTCTAGACCGCGCCTATGCTAATCTGTAATGTCACCAGTTTGGCGATTGGCGGAAACCCCCGGGTCTAAAGTGTTTGCTGGTAGGGGGAAAAGAACACTTTTGAGCCTGTCGGTCTATTTGGGGAACTTGTTTCTGTGACTGCGGCATATCCCAGCCGCCTTTGCTTTCCCTTACGAGAGTCGGGTACCCACCCAGCGTACGTGAGTGAGTTACCCACCAGAGCTGGTTTAGCAGTCGTATGCACTTTCATCATCTCCCCCCCCCCCCCTGTGAATTGTGCTGTTGCAGGACGCCGAACTTGTGGGCAGTGCTACAGCAAATAATTCTCTTTAGCAGGGTTTCTGTCAGATATTTCATCCGGGTATTGGGGGGGGGGGGGGGGGGCTTCGTTAAAATAACGGAGGGGTTTTTACTTGAAAATTCCGCGGGGGGGGGGGCAATAGTAGAAAACTTTATATTCTCTATATAATTTATACATTTTTTTTTCTATTTTGTCCGGGGGTGATGTGGTAGTGAATGTTGGGGAGAGGGGAGGTAGATTTACCTGAAAGAAACGGAGGGAGAAAGAACCAGGGAACAGTTTAAAAAATCCATTTCGTCTAGTAGAAATACAGCATTCATATACATACGCGGCAGTGTCATTTTATTAAAACACCTTTTTTTTTAAAATTACAGGGCCATACACCAGAGAGGGCAAAAGAAATTTTGGCACGAGATGGACCAAATCAACTGACCCCACCAAAGACAACACCAGAATGGGTAAAGTTTTGTAAAGTGTTGTTCACTGGGTTCTCTCTCCTGCTGTGGATTGGTGCCATTTTGTGCTACATTGCCTATTCTATCCAAGCCTTACAGAACGAAGATCCCGCCGGTGACAATGTAAGTTTTTTTTTTTAAATTGGGAAAGGTGTGTGTGTATGGGGGGGGGGGGTTGGAAGATGGTCGCCCATAAATGACGTCACGATGTTTTATATTTAATTTTACCTCCAATCCACAACAGTATGTGACGTAAACTATATTCTCCTCTCCAAACAAGAAAAATTGCCCTTTTCATCAATTTCATCTTTTAAGAATTCCAAAACTAAAGCTCTCACACATTTATGTATACAGCTAGCATTAGGGTCAGGATTATGTCTAGACCATCCCCTAACCTAGCACTTGTCCAAAATTGACTCCAGGCCAAAAAATAACGTCAGGGGTAAATGTCGTCAGAAAATGAAGTCACGTTGTTTTATGCTTTAGTAAATTTTTTTACCTTTATCCCCACCATTGTATGACGTAACAAAATCCACCCCTCCCCATTCCCGCATCCAAACAAAAACTTACGGCAATAATTCCCAAGTTAAAGCGCGCTCACATAGAACCTAAAAATAATTGAACAACATAATGGGTTATGTAGGTCAGGATTATGTCTTATCTCCCCTAGCTTAGCCATTGTCCAAAAATTCTCCAGGCCAAATACTAACAATTACCTTAATAAAACATTTAAATTAATGGGGACAGAAACATTACAATATTTTGAAATCGAATATCATTTTCCAACTAGATAAAAAAATTAATAAAACTGATTTCATTTTGTTACGAACTCATTCTTCTTTGACACCTTCTCGCTTCCTTCCATCTTACATTTTCCCCACTACCTGTTGATTGAAAAAATATTTTGACTATATGTCACGTGATCTCGCCAGCTTTACCTCGGCATTGTGCTGACCGCTGTGGTCATCATTACCGGATGTTTCTCCTACAGCCAGGAGGCGAAGAGCTCTAGAATCATGGACTCCTTCAAGAACATGGTCCCACAGGTAGGCTGGTTTACTTTGATGTTTTTGTTGTTGCCCGTTTGATTTTGTAGAGCATTTACAAGCTACACAAGGGTCCCCACTTTCTTGTATTACAGTTTAACCATTTATGTATCCGACAATCAAATTTGGCACAGACGTATAGTATCTGGACTTATAAAGGACCCCATATCTCAAATACCTAGGACCTTATGTCCCTATTTTTTTGCCCGCAACCCCCATCTCCCGAGAGAGCAGTTCGCATATATTGTTAACTACATTGCAGCATAATTTGCCCCAATCGGAAAATCCCCCTTTTCAATAGATTTTTTTCGCGCACCTATTCTAAAAGTTGTGCTTATGGTTGCTTTTTCAATTTAACCCTTTAGGGTTCTGAAAATCATAACCCTAACTCTAAGTCTAGAGCCTTATCAAGTCTAAAGTCTGACTCGAGGTTTTAAATTGTGTTCAGGAGCAGTGTTTCTTCCAGACTTTTTTCTCTTTTTTTTTGGGGGGGGGGGGGGGGGCGGTCTATCGGTCAACATTTTCCGGGGTGGGGGGGGGGGGGTGGACACTTGTAAAAGTGTATTTTTTATATAAATTTCATTTCGTTTGGGAGGGGTGGGGGCGGTAGACTTTCTTCCCGAAGAGATGCCTGGAAGAAACTCTGTTGAGTTCTCAGTGATTCTTCCAGACTTTTTCCTGGGGGGGGGGGGGGACTTAAAATTTTCAGTGAGGTTTGGGACGGACACTGGTAAAAGTATATATTTTCTATATCAATTATATTTCGTTGGGATGGGGGTAGGGGGTGGAGATGGACGGTTTTTTGTGGGGAGGTGCGTGGTAGAAACTCTGGGAGTTATTCGGCGTGGTTGCAGGGTGCCGCTAAAGGTAATATGACATGAAGTTAACGAATGCTATCTATTTTTCAGTTTGCGCTGGTCATACGTGGTGGTCAGAAGCTGAGCATCCAAGCGGAGGAGATTGTGCTGGGGGACATAGTCGAGGTCAAGTTCGGTGACCGCGTCCCTGCTGATATTAGGATCATCTCCGCCCATGGCTTCAAGGTAACCCCCTACTCCCGCTCTTATAATGAAAGTAAACTTTCGAACCGGGCGTTTTAAAGGGCAGATGAATTAGTTTCTGTGACTTAGGCGTATGAAGAGGTTGTATGGTCAACACTAAGTCCAGCCGCCTTTACCTTCCCCACCTTCCCCAACTTGAATCAGGTACCCATTAGAGCTGGGTGGACTCATGGACGTCCTACGGACTCGAGCCCGGGATCCGAACTCGGGTTAACAGTCGTTGACTTTATCATCCGACCACATCGCCCAATCTCTCCTTTAACCCTTCCAACAAATTTGTATAGTAATTTTAAAAATCATTCTTCAGGTCGATAACTCATCTTTGACTGGAGAATCTGAGCCACAGTCTAGAACTGCAGAATTCACACACGAGAACCCTCTTGAGACAAGAAATCTGGCCTTCTTTTCTACCAATGCTGTAGAAGGTAATTTGTATTTGTATTTTATTGTTTTATTCTAGTTTTTTTAAGTGGGCACTTTACAGTAGGTACAGTAGTGCCCATATAATGAATGAAGTCTTAAACAATAAACACAGCCTATCGTATTACACTAGATAATCTTTAATAAACATTATAACCCACATAACTAAGATTCGTTACAGTGATAATTTTAAAACTATTTTTAAAAAGTTAAATATTTTATCATCAACGATACAGAATTATTTATTAATTTTAGTGTATTTAAAATGTTACAATTTTTAAAATGTATATGCATTAAAATGTATTTTTTTTTTAAAAAAGAATGTTAAATAAATCTTAAAATCATTTTCAGGTACCGCCTGCGGAATTGTGGTAAAAACAGGCGACAACTCTGTCATGGGTCGTATTGCCAATTTGGCTTCTGGCCTTGAAGTGGGAGAAACTCCGATCGCTAAAGAGATTGCTCACTTCATCCATATCATCACCGCCATGGCCGTGTTTGTTGGTGTCACCTTCTCCGTCATCGCTTTCATCCTGGGCTATTTCTGGCTGGACGCTGTGATCTTCTTGATCGGTATCATCGTGGCGTACGTCCCGGAAGGCTTGTTGGCTACTGTCACGGTAGGGTTTCAACATTTGAAGATGTATTATGTATGTGGGGGGGGGGGGGGGGGGAGAAAGGCATTACAGTCTAGAATACATGTAAGAAAATGCAGTAACATCCAAAAAGCGGGGGAATGCGCGGGCGACAAAAAGAAAACAACTGAAGTTTACTTTAAGCGTTTTAGACTTTTTTACTGGGGGGGGGGGGGGGGGGGAAGGAGGTGGTGCACTTTTCGGGGGGTGGGGTAAAGTATATTATCTATATAATAGATTCTATTTTGTTCGGGGGGGGGGGGGGCTCAGCCCACCCCCACTTCCGAAGAGATGCCTGAAAGAAACTCTGCTTTAAAAACGTTTTACTCTGTGTAAATAATAAAACAGTGGGGTCAACGTGACACTTAACCGAAAATGCAAGATTATTGGAAAGGGTGGGGGTGACACCCTCAGTTAACCGCACCCAGTGCCGCCACTGTCAAAATGCTCTGCGAAAATGTTTAAAGATAGCATCTAAACGAAGTCCCACCTCAACATTATTTTACACCGGTATGTTCACCACTCGGCTAGTGTTTTGAATACTAAAACATCAGATAACTTATTGCCAATGTATCTAGTATTTGTGGGACGACATGGTCTAGCGGTAGAGCTCTAGACGGCTAACCCGAAAGTCTCGAGTCCAAATCCGGGTTCAAGTCAGTAAAATGTCCCCGAGTCCACCGAACTCTTATGTGTTCCTAACTCACATTAGGGAAACAAAGGGGGCTGGGCACAGTGCTGAGCACATTATCCCTTCATATGTCGAGGTCTCTGAAGCAGATGACATCTACTATCAGCCCCAAGTGTTTTAGGCACGAACGGGAAAAAGATAAATCTAGTATTGAACATATCTAGTAGTGTGACACTAATAATCATTTTATTTATACCAACGTTTCTCAAGTGTCTCCATTTGACCCTCATGGAATATTTCTTCCCTCCTGGACCAGGTATGTCTGACACTGACCGCCAAACGAATGGCCAAGAAAAACTGCCTCATCAAGAACTTGGAAGCTGTAGAGACTCTGGGATCCACCTCGACCATCTGCTCCGACAAGACTGGAACCTTGACCCAGAACCGTATGACGGTTGCCCACATGTGGTACAACGGCCGGATCTTTGAGGCAGACACCAGCGAGAATCAGTGCTGTTAGTGGGTTTTTCTTTTTTTTAAATTTTATTTCAGTATTTTAAAATCTGCGCTAACCATTGTTATACTATTTCAAAAGAATTTTTTTTTATATTTTAAAAGATTTTACGAAACCAACTACAAGTATAACAATAACATTTTTGATAAATAATTTATAACTTTAACAATGGTACACTTCACAAAACATCTTTGTCTATTCAACTCAGTTGTATCGTACTTAAAACTTCCGCCAAAGTTTTGATTTTTTTTTTTACTAAATATTAAGTTTTTACTCTTTATCCAAACGATAATATTTTTCTACTATACAAATAAAAAAAAATTCTCTTTCATCATTAAACGTTTTATTCATTAAACGTGAACTTAATACCATTCATTAACTTAATTGCACTGCTGACGTAATTTCTTAAATTCCGCAATTCCAGCCGCTTCCTATTCAAGCTCTGACCCCACCTGGATTGCCCTTGCTCGAGTCGGTATGTTATGTAATCGAGCAGAGTTCAAAGTCGGCCAAGAAAAAGTACCAGTACTGAAAAGGTAAATTTTTTGTGAATATTTAGTGAATATTGCAGGCAAATTTAAAAAATACTAACATTTTAAACATAACGTAGTTTTTTTTTCCATCTAATTTAAAATATTACTAACATGCTTTAACAGGGAGTGTAACGGTGACGCCTCTGAATCTGCTCTGCTGAAATGTGTTGAGCTGTCTATTGGAAACGTGACAGATTTCAGACGTCGCAACAAAAAGATTGTTGAAATCCCTTTCAACTCCACTAACAAATACCAGGTTAGTAAATGCTTTGGAGTTGGCGTGGTCTAGGACAGGGGTCGGCAACCTTTTGAAACTGAAGAGCCAAAAGTTACAATCTACAAAATTTCCCAGACTTTAAAGAGCCACTAACATTTGTATAAGCACTTCGGTAGTGGAAAGCTTGGAACCATTGCCACAGAGCTGGCCACAGCATAGTTGTGGGGCTGGGTCTAATGCCTTATGCCCTAGGCTGTCAACTGTCCATATACACTCTACTCCACCTATTCTCATTGCTTTTTAATTTCGTTTAAAGTTTTTGTTTTTACAGTATAATTTTTTTTTTGAGTTTCTATAATAAAAGAATATAATTATTATAGAACTAAAGAGCCGCACATTGACATCAAAAGAACCGCATGCAAGTCGCAAGCCGCAGGTTGCCGACCACTGCATGCGAGTAATTTGGTTAACACAAGAAATCTTGTATAAATATTTTGAGAACTTAATCTAGACTATACCATCATTGATTAATATTAAGGAATTCATTTTATTAAAGCGAAGTTATCTTACATAATTACAAGTTTCGTAATTTAATTTGGGGTATTTTTTCTATTAATATCAATAAACTTTTTAAGGCAGACAAAATTATTACATAAATTTTATTAATAATAATAAAACAAATAAAAATCAACAAGGATTTACATAATTATTATATTTCCACTGGGGTATTAGTATTTTTTGTCAATTTGATAACATAATTTTAGTTGTTTCCCTTATTTGTATAAACTAGTATTTGGGAAGTAACAAAAAAAACCAACCCATATAATACATATCTATCAAGTTGCAACATTGCTGTATCGTATAGAACAGGGGTCGGCAACTTTTGAGACAGAAGAGCCAAAAGTCACAATTTACAAAATTCCCCACCTTTTAAAATCAAATTCCCAGGGGTGGCGCCCCGGCAGGGAGCGATTCGTTTTATGACAATTAAAGTTGATTGCGGATTGACACTTTTTATCCGATCGTCATGAAACTTTGGAGTTGCTGAGAACACTTCAGGAGAGTTTCTGAAAAAGTCGTATGGGCAGCGCCTGGGAGGGTGCGATTTCCGTCAATACACTTTTTGGCGCCCATAGTTCCAGAGCGGATATGTTGGCACTTGGCATCCCTTAATCGGGCCTCCTGCATAGTGGGTAAGGGGTATTACTATATTCAGCGGCAAAACTGCAACAGGCGCAGCCGCCGGCACCTCGTCGATAGCGTGACTTAATTTTAATAAGTGTGTTCCTGTGTTATGACTATGTTAAATGTGTCGGATTTTTAGCTAATTAGTTATTTCTTTGCTTTGTCACTAATATCGTTCAGCGTGTAGTAAAGCATATTGCGTTATGACCAATAACTATTTCATAAATTATTTTCTTTAAACAAGTACATTTTAAAATATATAGGCCTATAATTCACTTGAAACGGGTACCGATGGCTAGTTCTAATAGAATAGCGAGTGTTTATTGTTAAAATGTATTATCTTGTTCATTACCGAGTGTTGCAGACCAATAATTTTATGAGTTTAAAATAAAATAAAATAAAATAATTATTAATATTTGTGCATGGAACTGAAGAGCCGCACCTTGACATCAAAAGAGCCGCATGCGGCTCGCGAGCCGCAGGTTGCCGACCCGTGGTCTAGGAGGTAGAGCTAATATTTGCAAAACCCAGAAGTCCCGAGTTCGAACCCTTTGGGTAAATCAAGCTCGATGGCTGTAGACAACAACGCATCAAGGTGAAAACTGCAAGATCAGACAACTGCCGTATTGTAGATTGTTCTCGGGACCAAGCCAATGGAAGCCAATCCAGAAAGAAATGCAGGCTGAAATCCGAATCAATGGCCTATTGCTGACGCGTAATAGTGTTACAGTAAATCCAGTCGAATATTACAATTAAGAACGAAGTAAATGCTTCAGAAATTGTAAAAAAAATATCAGCTATAGAATTTTTTCTAATCATATGCAAGTCTTGACATTTACATTTTGAAATTGTAAAAAAAAAACCGCCCTCGCAGGGCTTGTTAGTCTTTGTGTGACTCCTCTTGTACCAGGGTACTCATTACACCTGAACTTTTTTCCAGGTATCTATCCATGAGACAGAGGACCCCAACGATCCCAGGTATTTGCTGGTAATGAAAGGTGCCCCAGAGAGGATCTTAGACCGGTGCTCCTCCGTGCTGATGCATGGAAAAGACCAGCCTTTGGACGACACATTCAGGGAAGCTTTTAACTCGGCTTATCTGGAACTTGGAAGTCTGGGAGAGAGAGTTTTAGGTATCTTGAGATGTTGAATCTTTCCAATATTTAAGTAGCTTCGTTATTATCAAGTTAGTTTTTGTTAAGTTCAGGTTAAACTACCCACGCATACATTCTGAAAAAAATAGTTATGACAATACTGACATAGCAATAAGCAGCTGTTTAAAGATTTATAAATTAATGACAGAAAGGGTGGCTTTCGCCAGAGGGGGGCTTTCGCCAGAGGGGGGCTTTCGCCAGAGGGGGGCTTTCGCCAGAGGGGGGCTTTCGCCAGAGGGGGGCTTTCGCCAGAGGGGGCTTTCGCCAGAGGGGGGCTTTCGCCAGAGGGTAAACAAGTATAAACTGATCGAACATTTTTTGCAGGATTTTGCGATTACGTCCTCCCTTCTGATGAGTTTCCACCCAACTACGTGTTTGATCCTGAAGGTCCAAACTTCCCCATTACTGGGCTCAGATTTGTTGGCCTCATGTCCATGATTGACCCTCCCAGAGCTGCGGTACCCGATGCTGTGGGAAAATGCAGGAGTGCTGGCATCAAGGTGAGAATCTAAACAAGAACTCTTCTTTGTAATTCTTAGAATTGTTTGTAATAACTACCAATAAAAAAACTATAACATACACAATATGTTAATATCAGAACTTATTACATTCTGAAGATCATCCACGGATATTTTCATGTTACTTCAAGTTACCTACTCTAAATCTTTACATGTGCCTTGTGTAATCTCAAAACATGTGTTTTATTGCAGATCATCATGATCACTGGTGATCACCCCATCACAGCCAAGGCTATTGCCAAAGGTGTTGGCATCATCTCTGAAGGAAGCAAAACTGTTGAAGACATTGCTGCTGAGAGAGGCATTCCAGTCGAACAGGTGGATCCGAGGTGAGTTATGTGCTTAAATGGTTGGGGGGGGGGGGGGTGAAAAAAGGGTTGGTTCGATACTTACAACAATCACCATTCGTCAAAAACCAGACCACCCCTACCCCCAAACACACTCACGCCATAAATTTCACTATTTCAAATCTCCCCAAAGCCATAATTTTAATGTTTGTAAATTAGCACGCTTTTCACTTTCACTAACACCCCCTCCCCCAACTATTCCCCTGGGTGGTAACGTTACTTGTAGACAATCTCTAATAAAAGTGTCTAGTTGGGGAAATTATGGGACCTAAACAATCTTTTTAATAGGGATGCAAGAGCGGCCGTGATACACGGTGGGGATCTGAGAGACATGCCCCCAGCCCAGATTGACGCCATTTTGAAGAACCACGCAGAGATAGTGTTTGCCCGTACCTCACCACAACAGAAACTTATCATCGTAGAGGGCTGTCAGAGACTAGGTCAGATTGTGGCCGTTACTGGTGATGGTGTCAATGACTCTCCTGCTCTCAAAAAGGCTGATATTGGTAAGTCTTATGGCTATTTTTTAAATTAAAAAATAAAACATTTTTAGAAAGTTTTTTGATTGTTTAAATGTAATTTATGGGGCGACATGGTCTAGCAGTAGAAAGCTAGACTGCTAATCCGAAAGTCTTTAAGTTCGAATCCGGAGAAAGTCCACCCAGCTTTAATAAGTACCTAACTCCCCGGGTTAGTGAAAACAAAGGCGGCTGGGCATAGTGCAGACACCATTGTATGCAGAAGTCACTGAAACAGATGAACTCTACTTCATCTGCTCCATGTGTCTCGGGCACAAACAGGAAAAGATTAAATGTAATTTACATTTATTTTTCAGGTGTTGCTATGGGTATTGCCGGCAGTGATGTGAGCAAACAAGCAGCAGACATGATTTTACTTGATGACAACTTTGCCTCCATTGTGACTGGTGTCGAGGAGGGTAGATTGATCTTCGACAACTTGAAGAAGTCCATCGCCTACACACTGACCTCCAAAATCCCCGAAGTCTCTCCATTCCTCCTTTTCATCATAGCAGACATCCCCTTGGCTCTGGGTACCATCACCATCTTGTGTATTGATCTGGGGACTGACGTTATCCCCGCTATATCTCTTGCATACGAACAGCCAGAGCTTGATATCATGAAAAGGATGCCGCGTAACCCGCTAAAGGACAAACTAGTTAACGAAAGGTGAGTGGTTTTTCTATAAGGATACAGATCATCTTTTCCCCGTTCAAACCATAAGACACACGAGGCAGATGAAATAGAGCTCATTTGTTTCAATAATCTTGGAAAATAGTGTGTTCAGTATTTTGCCCCACCCCATTGGATTCGTTAACGTAAGTCAGGGACCCATCAGAGCAGGTGGATGCAGGAGCGTCATACCGGCTTGAATATGTGATTCTAGACTATAATGTTAGCAGTCGTAAGCTCTATTATCCAATAATGCACAGTTAGCTCAAATTTGTTATGCTCTTTTTATCAGTTGTGATTGGCGTCCGGCGATCATGTGCAATTTGTACATTATTTATCAACGTGTGCTGTACTGTCATTCTGCTAGCAATATTTTTGTTTACATTTTCCATACTGATTATCAAGTTTTTCAAATTATATTTTAAGTTTTAAATTATGCTGTTCTAAAATTAATCAGCATGGCCTTAGGTCAGATTTTAAATTCTATTCCCAGATTAATCAACATAGCGTTTGGTCAGATTTAACAATTTAAATTGTGTTGTTCCCAGATTAATTTGCATAGCGTTTGGTCAGATATAAATTTTTAAATTGTGTTGTCCCCAGATTAATCAGCATGGCCTATGGTCAGATCGGTATGATGCAGGCTGTTGCGGGCTTCTGTGTGTACATTGTTATCATGGGTGAGAGCGGATTCTGGACCAGCGACCTTCTCGGTATTCGAAGAAAGTGGGACTCTCCGGGCATCAACGACTTAAAGGATTCCTACGGTCAAGAATGGGTGAGTGGCAATTTCAGAGATTAATTAAAAAAAAAAACAACACTGCCAATAAATTTGATAATTCAGAGCGATACCTAACTTGTTTCTAGCTTCGCATTATACACACGTGCCAAAAGAAGTATTAGTCAATCCACCCCTTCCCAACCAATGCTCATTATTTGAAAACTAGCTTATTGCTGACAGTCCAGCCGTTGAATGTGTACCTATGTAGGGTGACATCGGAGTGCAGTCATTGCCGATTATTGCCGAATCTGACTTGGTTACATAAAGAGTACTTTCAGTCAATGGCCGAAGTAATTGATCAGGATTGTATGTCTGATGCGTCTCATTATATTTTAAGTTACATACTTTTTCCTTACCAGACGTATGCCCAACGCAAGAGACTTGAATACACCTGCCACTCGGCTTTCTTTGTGTCCATTGTCATTGTCCAGTGGGCTGATTTAATTATCTGCAAGACCAGACGTCTTTCACTTTTCCAACAGGGAATGAAGTGAGTACAAACTCTTCTCTTTCTAATTTATAACCTTAGCTATTTACTATTTATACCTTACTAAAATTCCAGCACGGCAGTTAAACGCTAGAAACTAAATGTTTCCTCGTAATAACAGTTATTTGCTTTTAAGGATAATCTTTGATCAATAATTTAGGAACATTGTTTTCTTCTAGGAATCACTATTTAACTTTTGGCCTGTTTTTTGAAACTGCGCTGGCAGCTTTCTTGTGCTATTGTCCTGGTATGGACACGGCTCTGAGGATGCAACCTCTCAGGTAAGAATTTTAATGTCATAAATCATCCTTAATTAAATTTTAGTCTTGTCACGATAAGGAAGCTTTTTTTTTTGTTACCAATCCGGAATAAAGTTACATATTCCACACCCCTCATGACATTTTTATCACTCCCCCTTATGTACAACAAGACAAAATTAATATATTAAGTTAGAAAATTGCTGTTTTCTTAAGTCATAGTCTCATTATTTATTTTAAAAAATGTAAAAAAAATAATGGGACCCGATTATATTTATTAGCACTTTAAATGACATACGTTTAAAAAAAAAAAAAACTAATACGTTTTTTAAAGAGTAAAAATTAAGCCTATAACATTGATCTCTAAAAGCGCCTGCCTGCAAATTTACTATAACTCTACCTGCTTTGTGGTAAGTCTCCAGAAAGTCTCCGATTACAAACTTAGTAATCTTTCATAAAAGCGAAAAAATAACCTACTTACAAAGCTGTCCTTAATGAGTAGTCTCTAATTAAAAAGTGTACCTTAAAAACTGTCCCTGATTAAAATTGTACCTTAAAAACTGTCCCTGATTAAAATTGGACCTTAAAAACTGTCCCTGATTAAAATTGGACCTTAAAACTCTGTCACTGATTAAAAATGTACCTTGTACAAAATTAAGCTTAAAACAGTCCCTATTGAAAATTTAGCTTAAAACAATCCCTATTGAAAATTTAGCTTAAAACAGTCCCTATTGAAAATTTAGCTTAAAACAGTCCCTAATGAAAATTTAGCTTAAAAACTGACTCTAATAAAAATTTACGATAAAACTGTCCTTCATGAAAATTTACCTTAAAACTGTGTCCTTCATGAAAATTCACCTTAAAACTGTGTCCTTCATGAAAATTCACCTTAAAACTGTGTCCTTCATGAAAATTCACCTTAAAACTCTGTCCTTCATGAAAATGAAATTGTTTCAGGTTCACATGGTGGCTGGTACCCCTCCCCTACAGTGTGATGATTTTCATTTACGACGAGGTCCGTAAATATTTACTCCGGCGGTACCCCGGGGGTTTCGTGGAGAGAGAGACGTATTACTAGATTCACATACTTTCAGACAACTTCCCTTCATTGGCAATGTAGGTTATTTGTCTTTGTACATAAACGTATGAATGGAATTTGTGCAAAAGTGATTTATTTCTAATGACGTTTTGTTGTGCTTGATATTCTTGTATATTTTGATGGACTATGTATGTAAGAAAATGAGATAAGTGAAATGCTTTGATTTGAGATATTTGTATAGACTGATGTTTTAAGAATGTTTTTTATACAGGATTAAAAATGAGTGATATTTTCAAAGTTTTACTTTATCTTTTTTTTTTCTTTTTAAAGGTAGAGTTGTCATAGCGCAGAAAATTAAATGGCGTTAAAATTTAAAATTAGCTTGTTAACTTTTTACTTAGCCGTAAAGTGAGCGCATCTGTTACTTCCAATCAGTGCAATGCACAACTTGGCATATGCGCAAAATAATGCGCGAAAATAGCTAACATAAAAAAATAATTTTAAAACATCTAAGGCTACCTACCTTTAATATAATTAAATTATTTTGCGAATTATAATCAAAACGTTTTAGCGGTTATAAAAAGGGAACAAATTAAATTTAGGAAACCTTAGTTCGAAAGTTAAACAAAAAGTGCCAGATTATCTAATCACCGGACTGAACAAATTTGCTACGATACGGCTATTCGGGAAACGAGGAAGATTAGATCAATACTGTGAGGATTAATGTGGACAAGGGGTAGAACTACCGTGCATTTTTGATTTTAAGATATAGCCATCAGTATAAATTATGACGGGTCTCCGACAGGTTGCTTGCAACTACATGACACACCATTTCACCGGTATACTAACAAATGCTATTTTAGTAGTTCGCTCTGCATAAAAATCTTTTGTGTATAGATTCCACCTAGTGTAAAGATTAGTGAACCTGAGGTTTTGTAGCCCTTTATACGGCCCCTGCTCCCACACACCTGTAACAATCACGTCTCAGTTTTACAACACCAGTTTATGTAACATACGCCTGAACCAACATTCCATCCTTTGTTACAAAACCTCTTCATTAGACTTAAGCCTCAGCAAATTCTGCGGGTGAATTTGACACATTTTACAGCCCAGGATATTTTTGTCTATTTCACAGCTGGATGATTGACTAGTATATGGTGGCCAGAGAAAAATTCTAAAGTGTAGCCAAAAAAGCCGAGCAGATTGGGCTAAAATCTTTCTGACAATATCCGGTAAACTAGTTACATGTTATTGTATCTTTTCAAGCCTGTCGCACTTGGGTGGAATTTCGTCGCATGGGTGATTAGGGGGGGGGGGGGGTCGAGTCGGTAAAGCTCACAGTTGCTAAACCTAAAAGTCTCGAGTGCGAACTCCCGGGCAGATGAGGCTTGATAGCTGGGGACAGCCACTCTTCTAGGAGAGACAACTCCAAAATAAACTGCTGCCTTGTAGTTAGTTCTTGGTTGAACAAAGGCTATGGAAACAAATCCAAACAGAAAAGCAGTCAACGGCCTATATGTTGCATAACAATTGATACGTAATACTTAATTGTGTTGGAGTGAATCCCTTCCAACGTTATAAATTAAGAACTAAGAGGAAACTTCATACAGGTCCTACAAAGAAAATTACTTTGCTTCCGCCCCTTCCCCCATAACTCTCCAAGCTCCTCCCCCTAAATAAAAACGCATTATTTGAAGCGTGACGGGTTGAAACCAGTTTTTACCATCCAGATTTTTGGGTCAACGCACTGCTGGGAGGCAGCAGAAATCAGGCCCGCCATTAGCATGTCAAAGAAAGCGCTGGGTCACAACGGGCCGTACATCCGCCCGATCACGTGACGTAGCCTTGACCACGATAGTTCTCGTCACACTTCGGTGATTGGAAAAGGGGGGGGGGGGGGGCTTTGACGTCATAGGGTGAACGAGACACGCTGAGGGTAAAGTTCATTTGACAATGGAGTTTACTTGGGATGTGTGTATGTTGGTGGGGGGGGGGGGGATGTGTGTATGTTTGGGAGGGGGTGGGGTTAGCAAAATAACACTTGTAGCAAACACACACGACGCTTCTGGTTTTTGACCCATATTGCTGAACACAATTACGGCGAGAAATGTCGGTCATTTAGCTCGAGGGGAGGGGGGATGAGTGGAGATTGCTACTATTCCTTTATGAGGTACCATGAAAATGGATTAATATGCCTACGAACCAGCAGTCGCGAGTAACGTAGAAACTACATTTATAGGATATGTAACCAGTTTCTTAAAGACATCTCTCCGGGGAGGGAGAGCAGTGAGTGTCCATCGCCCCCGCCCCCTGCTACACAGAGGAAATATTTTTAAAAAAAAAAACGTATTCAGAAAGTATATTTTGTATCCAGTGTCCGACCATCGGAAGTTGTAAGTGCTCCCTTCGGAAGTTTCAAGTACTTATTCGGAGAAAAAAAAATCTGAAAGATGGGTTTTATATAAATATTCTTTTTTACCACGATAACAATCTACAGCAGAATTACAGCGCAATGAGTAGGTATACGTAAATAGAGTAAGACAGTTGTTTTTTAAAGGCTTTTATTCCGTTCAGAAAGTTGATAAAGTATGTATGTTTGTGGCTTTTTATTAATTAATATAAGGAGTTAGTCTTAGCACACTTCGACTAAAAAATTATAAAATTATAACGAAGTAGGATTTTCATTTGCTATGAAACAAACCGCACAGCAACAGCAAAAAAAAAAAAAAATTAAACTCTTATAACCTTGACCTTGAAATCAAACCACCTTTTGTAGATGTGTGTGAAGGGTAACGAAATGGGAGGGGGAATAAAGGGGTTTGAAAGGAAACAAGTCAATATACTCAGGGTTGAAAGGGGACCCTACTCCACGGTACACTGGGATTTGACAATACTGCCGTGCGTCATCAGTTTTTAACCTCGTTCAACTTGCTGTCGTAGGGGGGGGGGGGGGAGGAAAGGGGTGTGCGCGCTAAAAAACATTCATCGGAAGTTGATAATCTACTATTTAATCTGGACTAGTGTACCGTGTATCGCGAAAAAAAAAACTATACTAGCCGGCAACTACCAATTTTGTTTGGACTGATATGGACAAATGGTGAACGGAAAAAAAGTCACAGGAAAAAAGTCACAGTGGAAAAATTTTATCCGAAAAAAAGTCACAGAAATAAAGTTACAGAAAAAAGTCACAAAAATCTGTTTAGAAATATTATTATTAATTTGTTAAGAATTGTAAAATTTTGTATGTTTATTGTTGTGGGTTGTATTTTTTGATAGCATAAATTGTTTATAGACGTTAAAAGCATTATAATTTATAACAATTGTAAGTAAAAATACTCTAAGATAATTAACACAACAATCTCAACTTTTGTTACGTATTTAGTTAAATAGGCGGCAGAAAAGTTAATTATAAAAGAAATTTAGGCACATTTTGCCGTAGGCTATTCTCTGGTCGGCCTCTCCTCAGTAGGCATTGTCCGAACATATTTTGTGTTGTTGACGTATTGCGTCAATGACAGCCTTTGAACCTTGTCGGCTTTCTGTTTTGATCCTAAGTTTTGTTATGTAATGAGCGTGATAAATGTGGGCAGTAAAGGTGGTTGAACTAAACATAACTATTGTTGCTATGAGTTGAGGGTAGCAAGTCAGATGAACTTACCATTTCACGGTAATTTAATATAAGTATTTAAAAAAAAAACACGATGAAAAACGTGGACTTTGGAGTATTCTATTAAATGCTACTAATCTTAAGTTTAAAATAATTACAATCTACATACTTCATAATAAATATTTTTAGATGAATTATAAAAATTCCTATGCGTACACAGCCTACACACATTACAATGTATTTAATTAATCCTAAGTTAATTTACACTCTCTAAATATTTGATACATAAAAATATTAACAAATATGATGCAAATATATATTTGTGACTTTTTTTCCTGTGACTTTTTTTCCTGTGACTTTTTTTCTGTGTTTTTTTTTCCTGTGACTTTTTTTCCTACAATCGGACAAATGGGTAGTGGTGGACAGACAGACAGACAGTCATACACGCTTTCTGGTGCTAAAGTGGACCAACAGATAGGCAAGCGTATAACCTATTATAGAAAAACAGCAAAGAATAACCCCCTTACTCCATTCGCCAAATTTCACCCAATATTCTATCGTTACAGGCTGATTTCTATCCACGCTGCGCAGTGATTGTGTAAAATACATTAGGGCTATCCTTGTGTAAGATTTTTAGAACACGGCGCACACAAAATACGCGTTACTCACTAGGTTTTTGCCTCAAAGAGGGAACGTTGGTTACAGGACTTAATAAAAAGTAATACCATTCCCCCCTCCCGTAAAGTTGTACCCAACATCCATGGTCCCATGTCGTCATGAAGTATACCCTCCCCCCTTAAATATGACGTTAAGTAACAAAGCATTACACTTTTTTAAAAATGAAAAGCATTTTAATTTATTTTGTTGTATGGTTACTGTAGATGAGTGAAATTTAGAATGGGTGGGGTGGTCTGACATTGGTAGATCTCTAAGCTTATTTATTGTTTTTATAGACACTATCCTGAGCTTGAGGTGTTCCAAAAGGACTGACTGACCCCCCGATCCCCCCAACACACAGGCTGTAATAAATACGCCTGTAACTTTAGACACAAAGCAGGAAATTGTAGTGCGTTGAGTTATGTGACACACGATGACCTCAAGCCCTACATACTAGTCACCCGCCAGGCACTTCATTGTTTTATTCATCTCGAGACTTTCTATTTATACATTCAAGGTGTGTCAATATACCTCGGTAAGGCAAAAAAGTTCGCACGCAAATATCCATTGTAACATAGCCTTTTCTTTTGATACTAGACGCGAAATAAATTTTTTTTAGGTATGTGTCTTATTATTAAAACAATACAGCAAGATTTGTCTTTATAATAAATAATATTTATAAAAATTAACTAGATAAAGATTTAAAACTCATTTGGTAAACATTTCAGCTGTAGCACTTTTAAATTGTAAAGTTAAGCAAGCAGTAAAAAAAATTAAACTCGTTTCACTAATGTTTTGTTTACACCTGTGTACCTCTGTCACGAGTGATCGGTTGTTTTGGTGCTATCGTTCGCACCCACCAATCTAATCCTGACGATAACACATACACACACAGCAATGAAATTCTAACATCACATTAAACATAAAACGACATTAGATTTTTTTTTAGTTTTAGCGATTCGGTTACGACCGTCTGTTTTTATGTTCAAAAATAATCAAGGTGTTGGCTATACACCGAAATATAACACAAAATATACATTTGTTTTTTTAAACGTTAAGTTAAAATGTGTATAACAAAATCCGTTTTTCCAGATTAAAAAATAACTTATAGGTCTAATTGTAAACATAATTGAAAAAAAGTAATATTAATTAATTAAGCATTGGGAAGATTTTGAACCACGTTTAAAATTGAAATGAATAGACATGGAAATAATGAGACCCTATTACTCTAAGTTCTTATGTTATACTACAAATCGATAACTAAATTGTACGAACTTAGACCCTAAAACGACAAAGCTATTGTAACCTATATGTATTTGTGTATAGATATAACTTCGTGTCAACAGAATACGTGTTTCCGAAATTGGGGGAGATACGGATGAGAGCAAGTTGTATGTGCTAGACTGGGGGAGGGGAGCGGTTTACACGAGGGAATGGGGTGCTTGATCGTAGCCAGTGTTGGCTGCTTGTAGCTAATGTCTAACAATGGAGAGGGGGAGACGAGGCGCCTCGAACCCAACCAAACATAAGGCGTCCCGGATTTGTTGAACAAACACCCTAAGACACACCGACACGCACACACCATTATCTAACCACCTCACACACACCCAAACACTAGCCCACACACACGCACAGCAACTCTGCATCCGGAATCTTATAATCCCCCTACCAGTAAACACAAACCTATGCCCCCCCCCTCCCTTAATCGCAATCCCCCACCCCTAATCACTGACCCAGTAAGCTCCTCCCACCGTCTTAACCCTGGGGACAAAACCGACCCGGGAACAGCTTGTCTACGGTATTTCATCCAAACCTTATGGTCAGTAGTGATGTTTTCATTTTCTTAAGTAGAAAAAATTATTTCACGTTGTATAATATGGATTTAGTTCGTGTACATAGTTATTTCAACATGCTCCAGTGCACGCCGTTTTTGTTATGATTGTTGAATGTGTATTTACCTATGTCTGCGCTTTTGGGTTAGCCGTACTTCGAACTTGGGCTAGATTTTATAGTTAGGTTTTGTGGTTAGGTTTGCTGGTTTTAGTAGGTTAATGTAAATTTGGTTTGTGTGTAGGGAGTCTTTAATGGTTAAGGTTTAAGTTAAGGTAAGGTTTTGTGACTGTTTTGGTTTTATTGCTATGTAATATGTAAAGCTATTGTTAGGCCTTATGGTTAGTCTTTAGGCCTATGCTTTAGGGCCTATAGTAGTTTTTGTTTTTAAATTAGGTTTTGTTATTAGATTTTGGGTTTTGTTCGTGAGGTATAGCTAAATGGTTAGGTTTTTGTGGTTAGGTTAGCGTGTGTGGTTCGGTTTAGTGCATTAGATTTTGTCTTGGTAGATTGGCGATATGGCTTTTTAATGTTTTTTTATGACTGTTTGAGAATACATTGAGGATAAAGTTTAGGCCTACTGCTTTTAAATATTCGAATTTATTAGGCCTATTATACTAGTATAAGCAGTGAGCTGTTTTGTCTAAGCTGTTAGTAATGTTGTAGAGGGAAGTAACTCAAGACATTACTGATGCAACTAAACTTCTGTTTTTGTATTTAATAGAAGATCGTCTAAGTATATCCACCATGTCGACAAGCAAAGTAAAGAAACAGGTAAATCATTCTCAAAGTATTTAAATAGGTTAAATTCTAGGTACATCCGCTGGCGTGGTAGCCGTCGAGCCATTTTTTGTGTAGTGAAATGGGATGATTATAGATACCGATGTCTGATAATAGACTTCCATAATAGGTGTGTTGGGTTGTTAGTAGTATTGTAATCTCGACTAATGGTTAGAAATTAGGGTTAGGTGTATGGTAGGACCAGGGTTGGGGTTAGGGTTAGATTCTCCCAAGAAAGGCTACACAAACGACACCATGTGCCATAACTGCTAACCTTGACCCCTAATTCTTGACCATAACAGGTGTACTAAAAAATTTAAGAGTGACCTTGAGACGACCGTTGGCCTAGGACAATCTGACAGGGCGTAGGTATAAAACGCAGAGTTCTAAAGGGTTGTGTAGGCCTACATATTATGTAGCAAGAAAGGGTGTAGGCGTGGTTACTTTGTTATATAGGTTAAGTAAGATGGTGCGACACTGCGGTAATTAGGTCATGTGGAAAAAAATGTCAAAGAACAGATGGATGAAAGCGATATAGAACCAAAACTTCAAAAGGGAAACACCCCAAAGGTACATCTAGACAGAGATGGATTGATGATGTGCAGACAGACCTACTAAAGCTTGGGTCCAAATATGGAAGAACATAGGCATATATTTTTCACGTTTTCCCCAAAACTTTGGAGTACACCCCACTCACTGTAAATATAGGCCTACCTATACGTAAACTGCCAAGAAACAGTGCAATCTAACTCAATTTATGTCCCTTCCTTGTATATTTTCTTGTCACATTATACACTAGTAGACCTACACACGGATTTCTTTCCATTGTGTTCTATCACACGAGTTAGTGTTTCAACACGGTCGTCATATTATCAAGTGCTATATGAAGCCACTTACACTTAAGCCGAATCCTTATTGTTTTTCCTCTATACACTCAGCTCTATGTTAGAGCAGTGGTTCTTAACCTGGGTTCGATCAAACCCCAGGGGTTCGGTGAGTCAGTCTCAGGGGTTCGGCGGAGGTCAAGATACGCCCCAGACTCGTGTGGTTCATGATTGGATTTTGGCAGTGCGGATGATAGAAGGGTTCAGTGAATGAATGGATGGGGTTCGGAACCTCCAAAAAGGTTAAGAACCACTGTGTTAGAGACTTTAAAAGAAGCATCAATTGCAGTGTCATTACGGTTATATTCACAATTCGGGGAACTACACTACAATAAGGAGAATAATTTCTATAGTATAACCATGTCAATCAAGAACAGGATTTAAAAAAAAATATTGAGCTAGCAGATCCAGGAAATGTATAGGATCTTGTTGTCAGTGATGAAAAAAGTTCGTGTATAACAAGCTATTTCGTTAAACGAAAAATTAGCAAGCAGTCAATGGAGAATAATTTTCATTCAGAAAGGAAAGCAGGATTAATTAGAGCTTCCAGGAAATTCAAATGTGTCAGGAAAAGCACAACGCTGAGGGGGCGATGACCATTAATAATTCGAACCCGGGTTCAAGTCAGTAGACCGTCCCTGAGTCCCGCCTGCTCTGATTGGTAACTGACGTCAGGGAAAGTAAAGGCGGCTGGGCATAATGCTGACCACACAATATCTTCATGCGCCAAGGTGACAAACAGATGAACTCTTCTTCACTTGCCCTTTCGACCGTCAGGTTTGGAAGGGGAACTTTACTTACTCTTTTACTTGATACTTGTGGGTCTATGAAATGCTTTTTTTTTTTGGTATTTCTGGGGCTTACGTTTTTCTTTACCATGCTGTCGTTTTAGGTTTATAGTCGATTTGCCAGCGATTATAGCATCCCATTATTACATTCGAAATACTGAAACGGTAGCATCCCATTATTAGGGGTCATCCATAAATGACGTCACGCTTTTTTGTACGATTTTTATCTCCCCCCTTCCCCTCCATCACACATCGTCACAAAAAGCAAGACCCCCCCCCCCAAATGACGTCACACCTCAGCCTACAGCCCCCCTCAAAATTGCTGTTGAATTTTTCTTGAAACATCGATATTTTCCCAAAATCTTGTCAGAACTCTGTCAACATAGAGTATTTTGATCAATTCCTATTACAATTTATCAAAACAGTTTTCTAAAACGCGAAGTAACGGCTGAAATTCGTTTTCCAATATTGCTTTTTTATAATGCAAAAGTGTGACGTCACACCATCTGACAACCCCCCCCCCCCTTTCCCTCCTCATCACACACCGTCACAAAATTACGGACCCCCCTCCCCCTAGAGTGGCGTCCATTTATGGACGACCCCTTACATTCAAAATGCTGAAATGGTAGCATCCCATTATTACATTCGAATTATAACCTGAACCCAAACGTAAACGGGTCAGTTATGTGGGAGCAAAAACTTGTGTGCAACTTTTATTTTGTATGCACGGTGCTAAAAAATGACCTACACAAGGTTATCTGTATTTTACAAAATGACTACGCGGCAGGTGTTCCATTTATGCGCAACTGCGCAACTGCGCAGCTAAGGGAGAGCACCTTGTAAAAAAAATACAATTACAAGGATACACTAGGCCCTCAGTGTTACCAGATTCTAGTGTAATTTATAAAATCAAGAGAATGTGTGTGGAAAAATGTGACAGGAGAGGGGTGACACCTCGAGTGACCTCCGCACCTTTGACATCTGACCTTGAGACCCATTTGATGCCGAATGACCTTGATGTATTCATAAATATTCTACCTCTAGATTTAATAGGAGATTATTACTTTTAAAAAAACCTTTAAAATAGAGACTGTTGGGTAAAAAGCATCATATGAAGCAGTGGCGTCGCTAGGTCGGGTGTCACCAGGTGCGGCACCTTAATGTGACACCCCCCTCCCCCAACAATAGAAAAAAGTATACCCTATATAAGTGTGTGTATATATATATATATATATATATATATATATATATATATATATATATATATATATATATATGAATAATGCCTGCATGTACCTATATTGGTGTCACCCCCAAATGGCATGAATTGGTACACACATTATTTTAATCAACTTATTAATTTAAAAAGCAACGTACAATGGTGTCACTCACACCCCGGCCATTGATTGACTAATCAGACCCCCCCCCCCCCCCCATTGTCAGAAGCGTTAATTTGCACTTAAAAGACTTTTAACTCTGATTAATCATTAACTGAGCATTTTTCTTCAATAAATTGTGCAATGGTTTGTGTTGGTGTCACCCCCTTAAATGGTGTAACCCGGTGCAGTCCACACCCCCGCCCCCGCCTTGCGACGCCTCTGATAAAAGGAACATATACTACATAGTCCCACAATTAATTAAATGGCATATAATTACTATTTTTAAAAAATTAAACCTTTATACTTCAAAAAAGGTTTTAGGCCTACGTTCATTTAAAAATCTGGCAATTTGCACATTATTTTTGTTGTAAAAATTAAGTTTCGTTTGTTTTAAAATCAAAAGGGTGACAGTTATCGCTATGAAGTCACTCCCACCGAAGATGACAAGAAAAAGAAGAAAAAGGGAAAGGAGAAGTTGGATGAGCTTAAGCAGGAGTTAAATATGGATGAGCACAAAATACCGATTGAAGATTTGTATAAAAGGCACGGAGTTGATCCACTTAAAGTGAGTTTTCTCCCCTTTTATTATTACTGGCTTAACTGGGTCTAGATCTCATTCTAGAGCTAGATTGGAAAGCTAGCCTGTTGTATTTAATTTTTTAAACGTTAAACTTAAGTTGTATGCTTTTTAAAATGTACGACAATATATTAAATATGTTATCATTATTCTAAAGTAAACCCTCCTTATTCTTAGTTTAATATTTTAATTAATGAAATATTATTCATTGTTCCCATTCAGCCATTCAGATATAGACTATTATTAATTAATTATATTAATAAATATTATTATCGTATTAGTTTTAGACTAATCACTAATTAGACTCAGAAAAAAGTAATAATTATGGACAAATTTGTATTAATCAAGGGCCATACACCAGAGAGGGCCAAAGAAATCTTAGCACGAGATGGGCCGAATATGTTAACTCCGCCGAAAACTACGCCTGAATGGGTAAAGTTTTGTAAAGTGTTGTTCACTGGGTTCTCTCTCCTGCTGTGGATTGGTGCCATTTTGTGTTACATTGCCTATTCCATCCAAGCAAGTCAAACAGAAAATCCTCCAGGCGATAACGTAAGTATTTACAAATATATTCAATAATTCAATTTACTTTGAATTAAGTCCATTTATTGTGTAAATATTTTGTGAATGAATTATAAATGAAATCTTAACTTGCAGTTATACCTTGGCATTGTCTTAACTGCTGTCGTCGTCGTAACTGGTTGTTTCTCATATTACCAAGAGGCAAAGAGCTCACGTATCATGGACTCCTTCAAGAATTTAGTTCCTCAGGTTGGTAGGGAGACATAAATAGTCAAGAATATTAAGAATTGATATTGAAACAAATTTTGAAAAACCAAAATACAATAAAAAAACAAAATCTTTCAGTATGCTCTAGCTATCCGTGGTGGTCAAAAGCTGAGTGTCCATGCTGAAGAACTTGTGCTAGGTGATATTGTAGAGGTCAAGTTTGGTGACCGTGTGCCAGCTGATATTAGGATCATCTCTGCCCATGGCCTTAAGGTAAAATTATCAATAACGTTTACTAATCAGCTCATAACGATATAATGATATAAAGATAATGAAAGTAATTTTTTTCCTATTCAACTTTACCTAACTTAATACTTGATAAAGGTGGATAACTCATCTTTGACTGGAGAATCTGAGCCACAATCTAGAACCCCTGAGTTCAGTCATGAAAATCCCTTGGAGACAAGAAATCTGGCCTTCTTTTCTACCAATTGTGTTGAAGGTATTTTAAAATATTGTTAAAATTTTAGTTTTTGTGTAACCTGTATTTAAGCCCATAGCAAGAGTGTTAAGTTGCGATAATTAAATATATTTTCAGGTACCGCAACTGGTATTGTAGTAAAGATAGGAGATGACTCAGTCATGGGTCGTATTGCCAATTTGGCTTCTGGTCTTGAAGTGGGAGAAACTCCAATAGCTAAAGAGATTGCTCACTTCATCCATATCATCACTGGTGTGGCTGTGTTCCTTGGTGTGACCTTCTTTATCATCGCTTTCATCCTGGGCTATTTCTGGTTGGACGCTGTGATCTTTTTAATTGGTATCATTGTGGCTAATGTCCCTGAAGGTCTGCTGGCTACTGTCACTGTAAGTTACTTGACTACTCACTCTTAATTCAATTTTTTTAAAATTTATCGATTATACAAAAAAAATAATTTGAAACTTATTTAACCATTAATGTCCCATACATTCTACCAAAACTCCACCCATGATGGCCCAATGTAAGGAGCATAACTCTGTATGATCAAGTGAATAGTTTCACAAAATATTTGTTTTTGTCTAAATGAAATTGAAAATTAAGATAAAAAGTACTGCTTAATGTTGGGAATAAACCTGGCTTTCCAACAGTATTAAATAGAATATATTATATTCGGTACAAGTACAGTATAAAAATAAAAAATGTCGGAGAAAATTCAAAACAGGTCATTTTCGGTAGTCAACTTTATTTATTTTTGTCTAAGCAACTGTGCATCGAATTTAACAGTTAAATATCAATTTGGTTATGTGTAAGATATATAATTCATAAAATACATGCCTAGATACATTATTTTATTTTATTTTTAATATTAAATCTACTAAAAATAGGACAGATGAGTCTAAAATTTCGAGATAGAAAGAAACTATTATTTTTTATCTTTCAAAAGCGCCATTGAAATTAGAAGACCGGAAAAGGATGCTGAAACTATCCAACTTCCTGTTTAGTTAAAATTAGGATTTGTAGGCCAAATTTTAATGAAACAAATTTAATTTTTCTATGCGTATTGTAAGCGGGCGCAAGCGGGCGTTACGGGACATTAATGGTTAAGCAATAAGATTTCTGTCTTTTTTTTTTTAGGTATGCTTGACCCTCACAGCCAAGCGTATGGCCAAGAAAAATTGTCTGGTCAAGAACTTGGAAGCCGTAGAAACTCTGGGATCCACCTCAACCATCTGCTCTGACAAGACCGGAACCTTGACCCAGAACCGTATGACGGTTGCCCACATGTGGTTTGATGGGAAAATTGTTGAAGCTGATACAAGTGACAACCAAGCCAGTTAGTTCCCTTTTTTAATCTGATTAATACCTTTTTTTTTCTACAACAATTGTTTCAAAATAAGAAGAACATTATTGCAACTAATGCTATTTACCCTTTAGGTGCTAAATATTCTCGGAATGATCCCACTTGGATGAGCCTTGCTCGTATTTGTATGTTGTGTAACCGAGCAGAGTTCAAAGTCGACCAAGAAAATGTACCAGTATTAAAAAGGTAATTATAAAAAAAATATGACATTTATTTTTAAAACAACCCCCACCCCATGAAATAAAGCCATCTTTTGGTTAAATTTTGTACAGAGAATGTAATGGCGATGCCTCAGAGTCTGCCCTACTTAAATGTGTTGAACTGTCTATTGGAAAAGTGACAGAATTCAGACGTCGCAACAAAAAAATTGTTGAAATTCCATTTAACTCTACGAACAAATATCAGGTAATGTTGAATCATCTTCTATGTTTGTTGTTTGTAAGTATTATTTGTGAGTGAGGAGCACTATGGATATTAATCATTTTAGGTTATATCTCTGTTTTCATTACATGCAGCAGTTGACCATATTTTACATTCAATATGTCTCCCATTTAACATGATGTCTTAAACATTATTTTAATCCCCTCCACATCTCACTACCAATGCGCTTAATTCAAATGCAATTATTGCAACTACTAATATAAAAATTATGATAATAGTAAAAATTAATTAGACATGATGACTTTTTAGGCTGGTTCCAGCAGAATGAAGTTTTAATTAATTGATGTTAATCAAGATATGTATTCAAATACATTACAGGTATCTATCCATGAGACAGAAGACCCTAATGACCCCAGGTATTTGCTGGTCATGAAAGGTGCCCCAGAGAGGATCATGGACTGCTGCTCCTCTATACTTATGCATGGAAAAGACCTGCCATTAGACGACACATACAGGGAAGCTTTCAACACAGCTTATTTGGAGCTTGGAAGTCTGGGAGAGAGAGTTTTGGGTAACATTATTTAGTCCACAAAATAATCCAACACCTTGTTATCAGTTTATAAGATAAAAGATTTAAGTTTAGTCCATTTAAATAAAGTTATGAAAGCAAGGAAATATTTTTATTCATAAAGCCTTTAAAATAGAAACACAACTAACATTTTGGCTCTAAGCTTTTGATAATATATAATAGTAATCACTTTAGAATTGTGTTTATTTATTCAACTGGTTCTAGAAATTTTTCCTTCTGAAGAAATTTTTTTTTAATGACAATATTTAATGATTTTCTAGCGTATGAATTTTTAAAAAAATAAAATGATTCCATTTTTCCAAACATTTCTATCTTATTTTCCAATAGCTTATTTTAAGGACAAATTAATTATTCCCCTTTGTGCATATTTTGAGGTACTTGTGGCCAAGGGGAAAGGAGTTTATAATTTTTTTTAAAATGTAGAACATTATTAATAGAATTAAACAAAGATTTCTTAAAATTTTTTAATCACCTAAAAAATCCTAGAAATAAATGTTTTTGTGTGCTAATTTTGGCAATGTATAGTGATATTCTTTTGAACTGATTTTTCACTATTTTAGGGTGGTTTGTTTCATCTATTATTTTCAAATAAATCCAGATACAATCAAGAATTTTTTTCCAATATATAGTTTCAGTATTTTTTTTTTTTATATATTTAATTTAATTACATTGGTTATTTCACGGAAGGATTTAAAATTAGTAAAGCCAATCAGACTAGACTAAAGTTGTCTTTGTTATACATCCACAGGTTTTTGTGATTTCATTCTCCCCAGTAAGGAGTTCCCACCCAACTACCAGTTTGACTCAGACAATCCAAACTTCCCCATTACTGGACTTAGGTTTGTTGGTCTTGTGTCCATGATTGACCCTCCCAGAGCTGCTGTACCTGATGCTGTGGGCAAATGCAGGAGTGCTGGTATCAAGGTGAGAATCTAAACCAGAGCTCTTCTGTGTGACAGCTTATAGAAGTTTCCTGTTTTTTGAAGAAACACATTTGTTAATTAAAAGGTTTACTCTAAGTTTTAAATTGCGAGTGGAGTTTATGATTTTTCGATTATTTTAATAGAATACATTTATACAAACCTAGCAAAATAATTATGGCACATAAAAAAAATAATTAATTACTGGTATTATCTTTTAACAAAGTTAGATTTTTACATTTGTATTTTTCACTTTATTTAGAGACGAGTCAGAGTAACACCAAATATAAAAATTGCTAAATTTAACAACAAAAGTTCGATCTAGTTAAAATCCTAGGAGGAGTGGGTTTGATACTAAAATAAAAATACAAAATAATTGGAATAGGGGTGACACCAAAAAAAAAATGCAAAATAATTGGAGTAGTGTGACACCCCAATTTACTTCTTCATGTGATGCTAGGTCTAGTGACACCACCTGTTTTCTCTATGTAAATAATATTATGGTAAACATCCATACATTTTTAGACATTTGCTCTTCATATCCCACAGGTAATCATGGTGACTGGAGATCATCCAATCACAGCCAAGGCCATTGCTAGAAGTGTTGGTATCATCTCTGAGGGTAACAAGACTGTGGAAGACATTGCTGAAGAGAGGGGGGTCCCAGTGGAGGAAGTTAATCCCAGGTTAGAAACTTGAATTTGAAGAAGTAAAGATATTTTTTTTAAATTAATTAGAGATTGTGTGATTACAAGTTAAAACCTAAAAGATATGCATTTGAATTTTGGAGATAATTTGATCTTAGTTAGATACTTGATTCAACCAATTGTTCCGGCATGTTTTGTAGTTTTCATATTTACTGAAATAAAGCTCAGTTAAGTTTGGTATTTTGCCAACCAGTTTCTGTATTAGCAATACATACAATTGAGACTTATATTTTTATTTAGAAACATCAAAGTAGTTTTTTTTTTAAATTTATGTTTGTAATAATTGTGTTCTTACAGTTACATGTTTATAAATCACAAGCTGACCCGCCCCGTAAGCATATGCCGCTATTTAGTTGTTCTATTTTCTACTTTTCAGTAATTCATAGTTTGTGAATTCGACACTACCCTCTCTTGCCCATTCTCCCCCTCCCTCCTCCCCCCTGCTCCCCCTCCCTCCATGAAAGCGGCCGTCTGAGACGACAGTTTACATACGACCATGAAAATATCAAAAAGAACTTGGTTTCAAATTGTTTAAAAGCTGAATTATCTTCCCCTAATAGCCGTCACATTGTAAACATTCGGGGTGAACCACAGCTCACCAGACTGGTGGGGTGTGGGTGGTAGCAATAAGCCTAGAGAGCGGAGTAGGAACGGCTAAGCCCTTACTTGGTGGTGTCTTGTATGGTCCCTACATAGCGAATTATATATATAGATACTTGTATACATTAAATGTAATTGATATAAAAGTGACTGAATATGGGCAAAATTACAATGTTTTTCACTTAGCCATTTTTTCTTTTACTTTGGTCCTTAAAATAGACAGTTTGAACCTTGAATAATCAGTTAATTTAATAATTTCTTGAAACAGATGCCAAGGCCTTTGAAAAGTAACTAAATAATTCTAATTTGATACACACTTGATTTCATTATCATTTCATTTGTTTTATAACCAGGGAAGCTAAAGCAGCCGTCATCCATGGTGGTGATCTAAGGGACATGACTCCGGCTCAAATTGATGAGATTTTGATCCACCACAGTGAGATTGTATTCGCTCGTACCTCACCACAGCAGAAACTTATCATCGTAGAGGGCTGCCAGAGACAGGGGCAAATTGTGGCCGTTACTGGTGATGGTGTCAATGACTCACCCGCTCTCAAAAAGGCTGATATTGGTTAGTTATGTAATATTACTTTTGTTGATATAAGTCATTTGTAATTGATAATTTATTTTTTTTTTTTTAATTTGTAAGGAGTGTTAGTTTTGATATTAAAAGAGTTTTGTATGAAGAAGATAAAATCAATAATATAATTTAGTCTTAATGTGGATTCAGCAATATATAATGATAAAAAATAAAATTATCTTTCATTGACATTAAGTTTAATTTCAAAATCTTATGTTAACAAGGTTTCATAACTTTTTATTTTAAATTATTATTCAGGTGTTGCTATGGGTATTGCTGGCAGTGATGTGAGCAAACAAGCTGCAGACATGATTTTACTTGACGATAACTTTGCTTCCATTGTGACTGGTGTTGAGGAGGGTAGATTGATCTTCGACAACTTGAAAAAGTCAATCGCCTACACACTTACCTCCAATATTCCTGAGATCTCACCATTCTTGCTGTTCATCCTTGCTGATATTCCCCTCCCTCTGGGTACCATCACCATCTTGTGTATTGATCTTGGAACTGACATGGTCCCTGCCATCTCTCTGGCTTATGAACAGGCTGAACTTGACATCATGAAGAGATTACCTCGTAACCCACTTAAAGATAAACTTGTCAACGACAGGTAACTAACTTTTACTTAAATTTTCTTATCCTCGGTTTATCCAAGATTTTTACTAGTACACTTTAGTAGGATTTAAAGCCCTTATTCAATTGCGTTTACTTTTGTCTAATGGTCCTGTGGAACTCCCTAGTTTTCCAGCTTATATTGAGGCTTCTTCCACATTGTTACTAGTTCTCTCCCTTCTAGATATTCTCATACAATTTCAATACAGCAGTCTTAAAGCCTTGCTCTATGATCTGAAGCCATGGTTTAAAAACAGTAGAAGTGTTTACGTTAACTTGATTTTTACAGATTTGGGGGAGATAACTTAATCATAATGTCTCCTGAAGTGATGGGGAAGTAAAAAAAAATAATGTGCAGGGTACTTGTCTTTAAAAGGGGCATGGTTTATTTTTATTCATTTTAATGTGACAAAAGCTCAGTTGTTTTATAATGTCAACATTATTTATGACAATCTTATCTATTTTGAATATGTATTTCTTAGTGTTTATATCTCTATTTCTTTACCATCTAAGGTTTACTCATTATTTTGTACATTTTTTGTATGCTAGCTGCTTTTACAAAATTACATTTATACTAATTAGTAAGAGATTTACAGTTACTAGTCTGCCCATTTGTACCAATTCACAATTTGTTTATGAATGGCTATTTCCCATTATTTAAGTTTTTTTTTATTGGTTTAACTTGAATCAGCATAATTACTACCTCTACAACTCATGTTTAGCAAGTCATCATTTAGTATAATGATAAAGAACTACATTAAGGACTAAAAAAAATATCACTTTCTTTTTTACTTTCTCGTATATACAGAGTATAGAGAAAGTATTGTAATCTTGCAAAAAAAAATATAGATTTTTGCAAATCTCGACGTTACACCTCCCTGAGTCAGAAAAACATAGTTTTGCAATCTTGTCTGTGTGTGTATGTGTGTGTGTCTGTGTGTCTGTAAACAAGATAACTTGAGTACCGTTACAACTAGGTTGATGAAATTTCATTTATAAGTATTATATCAAAATCGTTGATCAGTATCAACTTTTGAACAATTTCTGATAACCGGAAGTGGAACTTTTTCTACTTTGAATTTTTCAAAAGCCTATAACTTGAGTACTATTTCAGAACGATAAAGTACTAATAATATTCCTCACTATTATGCACATTTTATTTGGCATTCACTTGGTGTGCAATTCTTTTTTCTACAAATTTTATTCTATTTTAAAAAGTTTAAGTATTTAAAATGTATTAAAAATCATGTCTATATCCCGAGTTGCCATCCACTGTTGTTTCATATAAGAATATTCAAGAAAGTTTAGGGAAGATCACTCCTGGTTTATTTTAGTATAAATTTATTCATAAAATGAGTTGTTTCTCTGTTATAAAGGGATATAACCATTAAATACAAAATGCTTTGTAAGCTATGTTGAAGATTAAATAGAATAAAATACCACTAATTAATACTGAAAAATTTAGCTAATCTATATCAAGATTAGTTACATTTATCAGATACAAATTATAAAAGTCCTTTGGATATTCAAATTAACTGCTAAACTTCATTTTGAAAAACAGCTATTAAAAATTTAAGTGTGATTCACACTTTCTTAACCCCTTCCTTTCATCACACATCACATAGTGAATTCATTTATTGTCTACACGTAAATTTAACAGACCTATTATCTGCCCACAGACTGATTAGTATGGCGTATGGCCAGATCGGTATGATCCAAGCTTCAGCAGGATTCTTCACATACTTTGTCATTTTGGGTGAGAGTGGCTTTTGGATGAGCAAACTGCTTGGCATTCGTGAGCAATGGGACTCTCCTGGAATTAATGATTTGAAAGATTCCTATGGACAGGAATGGGTAAGAGCCTGGTTTACAAACACCTTAATTCAAGGGAAAAAACTGATTAAAAATTAAATAATTTTTTGTTTAAATTTGAGATTTTCATAATAAAAAGTCAGATTTTTACTGCGCAAAAAAAACCTGCTTCATTAACTTTTTAAATATTAAAGTTTCGAAAGTTCATACATCAATTTTAAAAGTGAATTGAAAAAAAAATGAAATAATATTAGAATTTACTTGATTTAAATATCTAAAACCTTATTAAATATACTTATATAGAGTTCTTTCTACTGCATGTCATTTTAAATATTTTTAAAATGGATTTATTGAGAAAAAAATTGATGTATTGCTTATTATTTCGCTTAACGTTATCTATGGTTTTTTTTTTTTTTGAGATTCTCAATGCTTTTTAAAATCTAAACTTCAGACTTACGCTCAACGCAAGAGACTTGAATACACCTGCCACACAGCTTTCTTTGTGTCCATTGTCATTGTCCAGTGGGCTGATTTGATTATCTGCAAGACCAGACGTCTTTCACTTTTCCAACAGGGAATGAAGTGAGTGGTCGTGACACTTTAAGACTTAACACCCATTGATAATATTCCACTGAAATAGTAATCAGACAATGCTTATCACTGTAAACTACCTAAAAATTGACATTTATAGATAGAAGCTCAAAAAAATTATAATTCAATGTACAATATTTTGTTTCTAGAAATAAGCACCTCATCTTCGGCCTGTTCTTTGAGACTGCCCTAGCAGCTTTCTTGTGCTACTGCCCTGGGCTGGACAAAGGTCTTCGTATGCAACCTCTCAGGTAGGGTTTTCTAGAAAAAAATGCAGATTTTTTTTTTTGGTTTACATATTTTTTTTTAAAATTTATATATTTTATCTCTTTACCCTACCTAAATATTTCTGTACTTGGATTTTCATCCAGAGGATTATTTTATCTTGGATTAGTTGGTAATAGTAGGCTTAATATTTCTAGCACGAGAAAAATGGCCCGTTGAGGAAGGATACACCGGGCGCTAGGTTGATAGTGCTGTCTCTTTTCTCTAAACTAAACCAACCCACCCCCCACACACCACCCCCACCCCCCACACACACCACCCCCTCCACACACCGCCCCCCCACCCCCCACACACACCACCCACCCCACCCCACCCCCCCCCCAAAAACATGTCTACATGTCTACCGTCCCATTCAACGAAATATAATTATATACTTTTTCCAGTGTCCGCCCCCTCCCAGAAAATTCTACCCGCGCCCCCGAAAATTTCAAGTACCCCCACCCCTCTCCGGGGAGGAAAAAGTCTGAAAGAAACACTGAAACCAACCCCCCCCCCCACACACCACCCCCCCCCCACACACACCACCACCCCCCCCCCCCCCACACACACACACCACCCCCCCCCCCCCCTACCGTCCCATTGCAAGAAAACCACTTTTTAGATTAGACACATTAATTAGGCGGTAATTTTATTATAGAGTATCGATGAGGAAATTTCTTTTGAGTTGGGGAGGGGGGGGGGGGGGGGCTCAGACGTTCTTACGCGGGGGTGGGGCTTCGTCCCTACCCGAAGAATTGTATGAAAGAAACTCTTCACGCAAACCACTTAGATTAGACCAAATTGCCTTTGTATTGAATGTTTACTCGATAATCAATGACGTCATATTAATGTGTGCACTATCCGGCTTGAGATTATTTTCTACTCTGTGCTAAATGTGTCGACGTCATACTTCGTTTTTCGAATTACTATGCATGTTTTTATTTTCCTTGTGTTTTCTCTAGAGCGTTCTTGTCAGATAGATATATATACAGACAGCGAAACTATTAGTATTAATTGATACTAATTTTATGATCGTGTACCTCTGGATAATGTATAATATTTGGGCCTATCCATTTGTTTAAGTAGACTCAGGGAAAAAACAGAAAAAAAACCCAATACTATATGTAATATATATGTTAGTTTTTTTTTAATCTTGAGACCTCCACAAGATTTTTTTTTCAAGATGGCCACTGTTGCCATGTCAAACCTACTTTCAGAAGAGTCCCTGATGCTTGCAAATATTTTCCTTTAAGTACCCTAACTTAGAAACACACAAATAAATAAGTAAAGCTTATTAATTAATTTAATTAGGTTTTTTCTGGAGCCCACCCACTACAATTAATTTATGTTTATTTTCCCCAGATTCACATGGTGGCTGGTTGCCCTCCCCTACAGTTTGGCTATTTTCATTTACGACGAGGTCCGCAAATTTATACTTAGAAGACATCCAGGAGGTTTTGTGGAAAGGGAAACTTACTACTAGGCATTTTTTGAATGGCCAACGGCCTGCATTACAAATGTAGGTCTTTAGTCTTGTATATAAACATATGAATGGAATTAGCATGGAAATGGATCCTGTCTAATGACATTTTAAGTGCTTGAAATGATTGTAGTTGTATGTAAATTTGTTAGCATTAAGTGCGATGCTTTTATTTTTTATTGTAATTAATGTATTTTAAAATCAGATTTTTAGTGGATTAAAAAGATTTTAAAAATTATTTCTTTTTATCATTGTTCTTTAAAATAGTGTAATTTGTGTGTTTAGACCTATGTTGGAGGCAGCCCTAAAATGTAATGAAATATAGGACATCTAAAATGATCTTTGATGAGCATTTTAAACATGACTCAGAAATGAGAAAAAAAACCACAGTAAGCAAACTAGTTTAGTTTATACTGTAAGCATGTTGAAGGATAGTAGTTGTATGTATTTTTAAATCTATTGCTGCATCTGCTCATATTTTTATGGGGTGAAAACACAATTTTTGAGTTGAATCTTTGCAAAAAGCACTCAAAATTAGTATTTGTGTGGATTTCTAACCTCATCCATAAATAAATACATAATAATTTTGCTACTACAAATCCAGACGTTCAATAGTTTATTTAAAATTCTGGATTCAGCTGCATATCCAGCAGCTTAATTGAGCTAAAGGACCTAACAGACATGGGCGTCTAGGTCATCCATCAAGAGAATGGGAGCTTCATGGTAACTGATCTTCACTGGTTTATTGTACGAGGAAGAACAAGGTCTCCTTTCAGAAATGTTGAGACCTTTATCTAGATATTTATAGTTGTTCAACATCAGCTAGCCTACAAGGGACCTGTCTATTGCAATAAAGCAGTTAACTTCCAACCAATAACATGATCACTAAGCAACTGAAATGTAAAATGGAACCTTTAAGGAATGTAAAGCATTGTTATGCACAGGTCGGTGGAGATAGGTGGTTGATTTCCGATACCCTAGCAGGGGTAACTGTTTCTCTGAAATTTTTCATCCTGTGGATGGGGCTGTTTCATGTCGCAGGGAGGGTGTGGTTGGGTTTTTTTTTAAGGACGATGTGATAGTCAAGTGGTCTAAGGGACATGACTCCAGCTCAGATTGATGAGATTTCGATCAACCATAGTGAAATTTTATTGCCTGAACTTCACCACAGCAGAAACTTATTGTAGTGGGCTGCAGAGACGATCAAATAGTGGCCGTTACTGGTGATGGTGTCAATGACTCTCTTGTTTGCAAGTATACTGCAGATATATAGGTAAGTCTCAGTGCTATTTTAAATAAATAAACCTTAATATTAATAGTGGTGTTTACCATGTACTAATACGTTTGTTTATTGTCATTCAGGTTTTGCTGTAGGTATTGCTGGTAGTGGTAGTGAAGTAAACAAACAACCAGCAAAAAAGATTTCACTTGACAACTTGGTTTCCATTGTGACTGGTGTCGTTCTTTTAAGGTAATCCGACAATAATAAAATCCCTAATGTTTTAACTCATTACGTATAGGTGTGGTACTGTGTGGTCGAATTGTAGAGCGTACGACAACTCGAGTTCGAATCCCGGGCTCGAGTGTGTAGGACGTCCCTGTGTCCATCCAGCTCTGATGGGTACCTGACACACGTTAGGGAAACAGGCCGCTGGGCATAATGCTGACCACATTATCACCTTGAATGCCGAGATCTTTGAAATGATTAACTCTACTTCTTTTGCGGCAAACATTTTCCCCTTGTGTCTTGATGATGATAATGAAGTGTATGTGCAATTAAAAATAATAACTTGTTAACTCAAGTTCACTGATTACTAAATGTGCTTATACTGTTATCCTGTTACTTAAACTTTTACTTGCAAACACTTAAGGGACTAACACATCAGTCCTCTGGTTTTTGGAAAAAATAATCAAATTGAAATTAATTTCTGTTTTAAGGTTATTATGTTGTAATGTTATGCATACGTTAATATATGTTCGTTTTATGGCAAGAGTATTAGATAAATGAAAATGTTGAAAAGTAACTCCACCCAACAGAGGCGTAGCGACCCTTCCCGGCGCCCGGGGACAAACTTTCGATTTGCACCCCCCCCCCTCAAACTTTCAATTTGGCGCCCCCCTAGGTCGGCGCCCGGGGACATATGTTCCCCCCCCCGCCCCCCCCCCCCTCGCTACGCCTCTGCCACCCAACCTTTCCTGAACCAACATATATTAGATATAAACACGATCAGAATCCACATTAGGTTCTGCTCACACACTGGTAGTCTCTGTTAAAGGCCTCCGTGCCTACTACTGTTACCGTTATTGAATAAATTGAATATATAAATTAATATATGTATAGACTAGGTTCATCTCTCTATGGCTGCTCAGTCATCTTAAGACTATACTCATTAATTATTGCTCTTCTGTGTATGGCTCTACGTTTTATCTCTATGGCTCTGCGCATCTATTGTTTTGCTCATCTTACTATCTCTATGTTCCCTCTAAGTTGCACGGTTGCGCGGCCGCGCAGTAGTTTTTAACTGCCACGCAGTCATTTTGTACAATACACGTATCCTTGTATAAGACTTTTAGAACATCACGCACACAAAATGCACGCTGCACACGATATTTTTCTTCTTGGAGGGAACATTGCTTACTATGGCACTGCTCATCTGGACTACTCATCTATGTATGGCTAATCTATATATGGCCACTTATCTATCTATGGTTCCTGTTCATCTATCTGTGACTTTGCTCATATGCCTGCTTGTTTCTTTCCCAAGCTCGTTAAAACTTTATCCCTTAATGGTCATAGCCTAGAATGATTTGATTAAAAGACTAGCACAAACATTGTTCGGGGAGTAAATATAACTATTGCAAGCACTTACTCCTGTTTAAATGGGTAGCTAAGGCGTCAATCAAATAAAAAGGGTTGGGTTTTATTCATTAAAGACTCCACCCCTTACACCCCAAATTAAAAAAAAAAAAATTAAAAAAAAAACTAGCTCTCCCTACACCCACTTTACAATGCCGGGTCGGCAGAATTTTATTTTACACTTGAATGTCCGTTTTGTTCATTACAAACGACGCGTGGCGAATTGTCGCAGAACCGTAGCAGGAACATCTTAGGTCTGGCCGTGCGGAGTTTTGAAACAGACAAATTCTAGCGTTACGTCCAGGGTTCGAAAAGGGGTTTCACACAAAAAGAACCCCTCACACTTCAAACAGTTTGTTATTTGGGTCAACGGGTGGGAGGTGGAGGTAAGCACAAAAGAAGGGACGTAATTTACATTTGGAAAAAAAAAAGCTCAAAGAGAGGCTCGGAGAACAAACGGATGGGTAGGCAGACGTGGTCTTTTCATCATATTGGGTCACGTGATTCAACCCTGACCACCGGCGTTTATTGTTTGGTCACGCTATAGTGCTCGTGACGTCATAGGACGAAAGAGGAGGAGAAGACGTTTGGGTGTACGTGGTGAGGAGGAGAGAAAGGGGGGGGGGGAGGGATCTAACGCCTCCCCCCGACTACGCTACTGCCTGGCCGTATCTTAAACATAAATATAATAGAAATACTGACAGAAAAAAAAAACAACAACAAGACCTCGATTGATATCTAACGGTGTTAGCAATTTTAAATAAGTTCTACCAGGATTTCTTTAAGGCATCTATCCTGGAGTTGAGTTTGGACGGGGGGAGGGGGGGGGGGGTAAAGGGCAGTACACGGAGCACGTCCACACCCCTTTCACGCCTCTGGAACGAATAAGAACAGATATGTAATTTACAGACTTTTAGAAATATACTTTTACCTGTGTCCGGCTTTACCCCACGAACTTTTCAATCCACCCCCCCCCCTCTCATCCCTGGAGAAAAATGTCAGAAACTCTTCCACTGTTTCTGCCAGAACATTATAGATTCGATCGCTCAAACTATTGGCGCTACACCGTATTGTATAGATAATTATTTTCTGCGGTGTTAGCTGCCAGACAGTGTTTCTTTCAAGCATCTCTTCGGGGGGGGGGGGGTGCACAGCTCTTCCCCGTCCTCCCACCCCGAAGCAAATATTACCTCCACCCTGCCACCCCCCCCCCCCCCCTCCCGAAAGAATTAGAATTTATATAGAAAATATATACTTTTACCAGTGTCCTCCCCACCCCCGGAAAATTTTGCCCGCCACCCCTGGAAAATTTAGTCCGAAAGAATTACTGCTGCCATAACCATAGACAGGTCCTTTAATTGCCCCTTAATCAAAATCTTAGCCATACAGTCTTTTTTTTAGCGCAATTTCCATTCTGGAGAATTGCGTTTATTAACCCGTCATTTCTGGATGTATGAATGTATGAATGAATGGATGGATGTGTGTCCGCAGCTTTAAGTCGTATCTCCTCCTCAACGAAGCAATATCGATGACTAGTTCCAAAAGCAATTATGTTAAGCAAGTTACGAGGATGAACATAGGCCATAAATATTACGGGTTTCTTTCATGGATTTCCCGGAAAAGCCAAAAAACCTCGAAAAAAAGCAGTTTTTGGCCCATATCTCGGCAACCAGACCACTTAGCGACTTGAAACATGTACCAATCGATTCCTGCCATAATTTAGAACAATATTGCCGAAGAAAGTTTTCAAAAATATCCTTTCGTTCAGTCACAAAAAAAATTTTGAATTAATTAAAATTTGGACCGAATTAGTAGGCATTTTTTCCAACCACACCACACGCGTCATCATTTTCAATAGCTGCGCCATCACATTCAGTAGGCGCGCAATGGTTTTTAGTCATGTAACTCTATTGTAAATAAAACATGTAAAATACTGAAATTTTTTTTAATAAAAAACGTTTTAATAACTAACCAATGGTTTTACTAACCCTGCTCTTGATTTACGCTACGACAGAGCTATTTTTAGATAACATAAGGAAATTGCGCTAAAATTGTCACTAGACTTTTTAATTAACTTGTTTAAAAATAATAACCCCTAGCAGGTAGAGCACCTAAACGAAAAGTATCCTCCCTTATTTTTTTTAAATTAGTGACATGCCCAATTAGTGTCACATCACCCACCAGCGGAGATGAGAAAAAAATGTTTTCATTAATAAGTCGACATGTTGCAAATACTAATTATTAATTAATTATAGAATGTAGTCCATTCGGGACCGTGGTGCTTTTAAATATTTAAATAAGAGAACCGAGCATTAAAAGAATAATAAATCAAGCAAGGGAAACAGTTCGTAATATATCATTTTGACCGCGCCATTATTTCT